CCAGAAAATATGATTCAGCTTAAGCTGCATTGACAGTCAGCAGATTAACCTATATCCCATCCTGGGTTTAATTCTTTATAAGAAAAACGTTTCTTGGGGAAAAATAAATATCAGTAGTCACTAGTTTTCTGAATGTTCTGCAAAATGACTTCCTGCAGAAGAGGAAGGGAGAGAGAGTGTGTTTGTTGTAAGGGGAATACAGAGTAGGGCCTTGGAATACATGATATCTATGCTATCAAAACACCAAGAGTAAAAGATAGGTGGAGTAGACAAGAGAGAAAATTTGCTATTGTACATGTGAAGGACACATGCTGCAAGTTGTATCACATCTCACTGGGATGTAACCTAACACACCCAAGTTATTGGCAGTGAAAATAATAATGGCATTACGTGCACAGCTCTTTTGTTGAAATGACAACTTCATTATAAGTCAAACTGTTGACTTCTCTGGTTAAGGTTTCCACATTCTAAGTGTTTTTAACAAGACCAAGGGCTTTAAGATGTTCAATTTATTGAAAATGCTTGAATGTTAGCTTCACAACTGCTGCATATTTCATTCTTGCAGATTAAAATCTGCAGTTTCTAATCTCCAGGGACAACAAACTTATTTTCTGCTTCAGATATAAAAGACATGTTGTGGTTTGTGAAACAATGGAAAGTATCAGTGAAAAGGCAAAGAATACATTTTGATATAAGCGGTTACTAAAGCATTATCTTTTCAATTTTCAAAAACGAGAGACAATACAGGATTTTGATTTTGATATTTATTTTTAGCAGGATGTGTGTACTAATGGATGGTGACATCATTAGGAGATACGTCCATGTCCACCACCTGCAACAGAAGCTAGACAGATGTTAAAGAAATCATACTTAAAGCTATAAACGACACTACTTACCTATAATGGTGTTATGACAGTCACCTTAACAAACAATTGGGTTAGCTTTTGATACAAATACACATGACCAATATAAAAACTTACCAACTGTCAAAATTCATTCATCAAGTTTTAAATTTAATGCATACTGTACCTTGATTTTAACAAGCTGTTAATTTAGAGAAATACCCATTATAAAAATCCCGTTATTTAGAAAAGAGAGATATACTCATACAAAACAAGGCTATATTGTTCTTAAGTGAAAGAAACTTACCTGTAATTCTCTTCAAAAGATAAGCGATCCATTCATTTAACCCTATACTCCAGATTATGGCTAGCAGGAATTCCCCAGACTTTCAAATTCTAATGCTATCAAACCACTTCAGCAGCAGATGGCATGCATTCATTCTTGCTACGAATATAGCCCCTTATTCTTTTTACATGTCAAATCCTTTTGCAAGTAACCAGGTGGAAATTATATAAAATATAATACCCCAAAACTCTTCAAGAAAGGTGATGCTATAAATGTACTTTCTGTAAGCAAGAGATAGGTAAGTTTTTACTACATATTTTACACATCTCCTTCTAAAGACTACAAGCTTCAGGATTTTTAATCAAAAGACTGTGCAGTAGCAATAACTGGCTACAAAAAGCAAAATACAACTGTCAAATTTCAAAGCCTCACAATGGTGACGATACAAAGAAAAAACTTAAGTTTGAAGGGTAAAATCTAAACAAACCCCGTTCTAGAAACATCTCAAACATACATACTTACCTGAGGATCTATAAGCTTGGAAATTCTAATTCTGAAATTCTAAAGTCCTTTTAGACACTTATTACAAATCCAAACTCAAGATGCAAAGCTAAGTCTGAGCAACAGTGCTTTTTAAGCACATGCAGAAACTCTGTGCAGCTGCATCACAAAGCTCTTTGACAGGAACTGACTGGAAGCTGACTGTAGATAACATGCATATTCTAACTACACCTTGTCATCTGAGAATTACTGAGAAACAAGAAGAAATTCAGTCAGTCACCTAGCCATACATACAAGTTCTCTTGAAAACATCTTGACCTATCACATAAATGTGTACTCAGGCACCTAAATATGTTGATTATTTTAAGGATTGCTTAGCATCCAGCAGCTCCACTGAAATCAACAGATGTTGGGTGATGATCCTTTTTGAAACTCAGGCCTCTTTTTTAAGTGTCTGAATGAGGATATAGGAGTCTAACTTTAGACTATTTTTTTAAAAAATCTTGGCCCATAATTTTTTTCCATAAGTTTGAGTTTATATGTAGTCAGTGGCTCAAAAAAAGTCTTTACCAACTGAACATCTTGTGAAACCAGGGACTTTCAAGAGCCATTTATCGAGAAAGATTACTATAGCAACTGAACAAAATATGGGCTACCTTTTACTTGCGTGTAAAGAAAAATGAAGTGTATAAACTTGCAAACTCAGTCTATAATTAAAAAAAATATTTTGCATGAGACTAGGCAAAAGAAACTTGTTCACACCAGACCTAATATCATTGGCATTTAAAGTTAAAAGTGCAGGCAGACTCTCGAACAATTACAAGGACTTAACACAGCTACCCAAGCTTTACTTTGTCAGGAGCTATAACGACAGAATGAAACCTTAGATTGGGATGCAGAAATTCCCTAGTTCTGAGAGATCAAATGTGGCAAGATGTACAATCTAATAGAATCACCCAATGTTATCTATGAAGACTGTTAAGATCTGTCGGAGTTTGGTCAAGACCTTTGCATGCTTCTTCCCATTCCTTTTTATGGGCAAGGTATTTCCCAACAAAACAAAGATCTCTATTCACAGCTATAGTCCGAATGCATTTTCTGGGGCAACAAACCACTATTTAAAGGGTGTGGTGAGTCTCTATAGTGTGTCCACACGAAAGAACTTCTCATGACTCTCTGGTGAATGGCTCCATCTCTAGGGTCTATTATATAGCAGCATGGCCTAATTGCAGTAGTGCTCTTCCATGTCAGATAAAGTAGTCATGTGGGAAATGTGTCTTAGGACCCCACCAAATCAACAGCAGCATGATGGGTGTTTGTCCTCAGATTCGTATGAAGAGGGTTTTTTTGTTCACTGATCCTTCAATATATACTGAGGTTCTCAAGTGAAAGTATAGCATGGATACCATGAATACTATTGGCGCCCTAAGAGCGGAGATTTCCAGCTTGGGTCTTGATAACTAGTCTTTTGTTAAATCCTTCCCCTGCCATACAAGTCCAAAACACTGCAAACTAATACAAGCGGTGTCAAACATGGTCCCTTTGCTCCCAATGGTCCCTTAAAGCCAAGCTGGGACTTACAGACAAATTATTTCATTTCTTCCACGAGACATCCTTCATAAGTCAATCATCTAAACAGGTGAAAATATTTACTCCCATTTTCTGGATATATTGTTACAATGGTTAGGTATTTTTATAAATTCATGCTGGTCTGAGAGCAGCCTAGAAGATAGCAGTGAATTGGCAGCACTGTTCCAGTATAAAAAAATTGGACACATACAGTACCATATGCATGTCTTGCCATATGCACATAAGCATTCGTCAGATTCAGAGTGACCACTTCTAGCTGAGACAGAATCATTCCCAGACAGCAAGAACATCAAGTGTCTTAATATATGGGGCACAGATCCCAAAGTACCAACTGCTGCTAGTCCACTGGAACTTTCAAGTTGGCCAGACTTCGAGACAAAGTTTTAGATGGCCAGAAATTATAGGTCATATAACACTAAAAGCTATAGTCAAATCCCAGAGATTCATCAGGCTGGACAAGTCAAGTTGTGGACAGGACCCAGGGGTCTGACTCATCCACTCCCATTTTTAAGGGGCTGAGTAACAGAAGGCCTAAGTCAGTCACAGACAAGTCAAAGACAGAAGTCTAAGACAGACACAGTTAACTTTTGGAGTTGAGTGGCATCTCCAGCTGCAGACCTTGACCTGCATTGAGAGAAAGCATAGAGAACTTTTAAGGATGTATCAGATCCTCTATGTCAAAACCTCAACTCACTCAGGCTAAGATGGGAACTTGGCTTCATGGGAGGTGCTGAAGAAAAACTGTATGGCCAATCTTATTGGACCTTGTGTCAAAGTAGGTAACGTTGGAAGTTATGACAGCTGTGCTAGATTCTGAAGCACTTTAAGATTTGTCCTTTTTAATCTTTCATGTTAACTTGATGGACTGAATGCAAGCTTTTGGTCAGTCCAACAAAGGTTACTCTGGGACGAGAGTGCTTGCAGCAATGCTTGGATGTAGATCACACAATCAGCTAACTCACGATCCACCTTAAAACATCTTTGGACAGCTGGGGCACCTCAAAGCAGTTAGACAACTCTGGACATTTTTTCCCAAAAACATTATACACTTCCGAGAGATGGGAGGAAAACATGGCTCTTTAAATGAAATTATGATACATCATTTAACTATGTAATGTAGTAATTCAGTACTACAGTGACTGATACCTTAAAAATTCAAGCAATAATGAAAGCTTATTTCAGAACAGAAAAATCAAGCAAGACCTTAGCTGGGTAAAGAGTTAAGCTCCTAGATCCCATGTAGCAAATGATTTTGTTTGAACAATGCAGATAAGAAAGCTCTGTTAAATTTAGGTAAGCCCCCCCCCAAACAGAAGCTGTGAACAAAGCTTAGAAAAAGCAACCACTGAAGGCTACAACAGTAGAACCATCTGTTGACATAGCTGCGTTTATACCAGGGCTTCTGTTGGCATAGCTACGCCAGTCAACAGTGTGTGCTCATTTGTATTTTTAAAACACCCCAACCAAAGTAACTACACCAATATAGCTTTTCGGTGAAGACCAAGCGTAAAACAATAACCAAAAGAGCCTTTTCAATATCAGCAGTAAAAGAAGGAAGTGAGCTAGATATAGAAGGAGGACTTTCCCTCAACATACCACCTAATGTGGAAGTGGCTTAATGGTTTTAGAGTTTTGAAGCTAGGAAGTTCCTGCTAGTCATGTGCTCGAAGTGGGCATCTAATATTTACCTTTGAGAGAAAGTTTAAACCAACTAAACATTTATAACATATCAAAATTAATTTAATGAAGAACATGGATTAACTGAACAAAATATTACGCACTTCCAACTTATGCTCTTTTTCTGCAAGGACTTCTTTTTGACACCGCAGAAAGTCTGATAACATTCGAGTTAATTGTTTTCTATCATCTATTTCAGCCGCCAACCTGCCATTGTAATCCGCCAGTACCATGCAAGCATCATCTACCATCTTGGAAAGCTGTTCTCCAGATTCCTTATCTAAAAGGCAAGCAAAGAAAAAAAAATAGCAATACATTACAAAATCTTCTCAGGCTCTCTCATGCTAACACTTCAATTACTCCATGCCCATCTCTCACCTGTTATTCTGTCTAGTAAGGACACATCTTGGACCTCTACAGGCAATGAAGCTATCCTCTGATGAACTGCTGCATCCCCAGAGGCTGCATTTTCTAGTTCTTGTAATGCTCTAATAAGATCTGTAGTCTGAAAAAACACACAGCCTTAGAACTGGTCTAGTCATTAAATCCTGATACACAATAAAGATTCCATCGGCATGGCAGAAGCCTCTGCAAGCATAAATCTGGTATAGCCCACTTGATACCTATGAACCATGCTAACGTAAGGAAGTGCCTGAAGTAGAGTTGGAGTGCACAGCAGTCCTTCCCTATGGGAGGCCTCTTCAGCCAGCATAGTTGAGAGCAGCATTGGGGCTGTTACATCAGGGGCTGTTTTGCTCATGATAATCCAAGGATTGGGGAAGAATAAAGGTTGCATACAGCCACCTTTACTCAACGTTCTAGCTTTGAGTGTTAATTTGGCCCTTAAAATGGGACCCATTACAATGCAGAGTTGGTTCTTTATTACTCAGTGACTGAAGGATTTGGGTTTTTTTTACATATATCCCAAACCTTACGAAATGATAAAAGTTTATGAACACAAGAGACTTCTACCTGTGGAGGGTCACTTGGAGAACTTTGTGCTGAACAGTTATTTTCATCAACTTTTATCTGTTCAAATGTGCGCTTCCTGGCCTTTCTGTCACCATCTAAAAGTCAAAGTAGAGACCTAAAAATCAGTTCAGGAAACAATACATTTATTTTGAGAGACTAAAATACATGCACACAGAATACTTACACAAAGCTTGCCTAAGTTGTTCTAATACATCATTTTCATAAACAGACCTTTCTTCCCAAATAGAGAGCACACGGCCAAGGTGTTTCTTACAACTCTCATCAGACTCACTGTGGGGGAAACAGTAAAATCACCAATAAAAATGGTAGAAGTACAACCCAGTAATAAACAATTCAGCCCTGTATAATCTTGCATCCAAGGATCTGAAGTATTTTACAAATATCAAAGAATTAAAATGCCCAACACCTCTCTGAGGTGAAGATCCTCATTTTGCAGAAAGGGTAAAGGACGTTTTGACTTGTTCAAAGCCACCTCACAATACGTCACATTGAAATAAAGGTCAAGTCTACTAGCCCACCAGCCTACTTCAACCACTGAATGCTTCATAGTGCCTTTAAACCTAGCAAAGCATGACAGATCAGTTTTACCCTTATTCTATTAATTAACATTTCATCTTTTTTACAATTAAATCTTATTACATAAAAAGATGCGAAAGATTCATCTACAGATATACATTCTAGTTTAAGTGCTAAATAGAATCATAGACTTTAAGGTCAGAAGGGACCATTATGATCATCTAGTCTGACCTCCTGTACAATGCAGGCCACGGACTCTCACCCACCAACTCCTGTAACAAACCCCTAACTTGTCTGAGCTATTGAAGTCCTCAAATCATGGTTTAAAGACTTCAAGGTGCAGAGAATCCAGAGAAATCATATGCTAGATCTGTATCATTAAGGAATAGGGAATTATTGTAACGTACAAGTTGAATGAATGAAAAACACATTTACCCTCAACCTAACACAAAAGAAAAACACAACCCACAGTCTTCCAATGTGAAAAGATGATTATCAGGCTAATAAACTGTATTCTGATCAAGGTGCATACACAGGCATGGGAACTAGGGTGTGTGGGGGGGTGGGGGGGAGGGTGCTGCAGCAACCCTAGGTTTTATGCGGGATCCCACCTGCTGGCCCTCCTGCGCCCGGGCTCCCGGCTGCCAGCCCCAGCCTCCTATCCCTCCCCGATCCACCCTCCCCGCCCCCCCAATCCCGGAGACACGGCCCTGCTCCCAGTCCCAGCTGGGGGGGAGGAGAAGGGAGGGCGGGAACAGACAGGGGTAAGCGGGGTTGGCTTTCAGTACTCGCACTATTAAAAAAAGTGTTCCAGCACCACTGGGTATATATACTAAAGAAGATTGACATTTATTCAAGATCAAAGGAGCTTTTAAACTAAGAGGTGCAGGGAAGAAATTGAAAAAAAAAAAAAATAGATTTCAGATCTAGGATAGGGCGCTTTCTTTAATTAGGGTCCATGAGCGCTGCTGAGCCAGACAGAACAAATGAAGTGTTCTGAACGGAAAATACCTCACACGGGCTTTTTTGTTTGCATGATAGTTAAGATGACAATAATGCTCACATTACAGTTTACTGTACCTTGAAACATGCTTAAAGGCCTCAACTATAACTGGTGCAAAGTCTTTTGTAAATTCTGGTCCTTTCCTTTTGCTGTTCTGAATGACATCGTTGGCCAGGTACAGAAATGTCAACTTCCTATTTGGTTTTGCTAATAAAAGAAAAAAAGAGAGAGATGCAACAATCTGAAGTTGTTAGTAGTATAAAACTAATTTTGCAAGTTAACATTCAGTTGAGTTTCTTCCTACATCTCTTATGTAGAGAATGTAAACAGATATAAATGTTAGTGAAGGAACTTTGTATTTTTAGCTATTTCTGTTAGCACCTCATACTATTAATACAAAATAATCAAAGCCACTTTTTATAAAAAATTTGTCTGCATAAATTTCAGCCCTCAAAACCCAGAGAAAGCAAGTCATATCAGTCTGCCATCCCCCGCTGCCATTTTCAGTACAGGTCCAGCAACAGCTAATTTGAAGTTTGAACATTCTTCACATTTTGCCAATCCACAATTTGCTGACCTCTTGCTGCCCCTCTCACACTACCACATTCCTTTGCTACTTCAGCACACACACTGTCCTTCCCCTCCACGCTCATCAACCCAGTCTCTCCTCCACAACATAACACTTACTTAGTCTCCCAAATTCTTCTTCTTCCCACACGCAGAACCTTACATATTTTAATTGTCCTATTTTTTAAAATACACGTTGCGCTTTTAAATTTACATTATGAATCACCAAAGCAAACATATGATCTTGTAGCTATAATCTTAGGGTAACATTTTCAAAACTGCTTCAGGGTATGTCTACACTACAATATAAGCCCAGGGTTAGTGGGACTCCAATCAGCTGACCCTGGGTTACAGAACCCAGGGCTTGAGCATTTACAATGATTGTTAACTGGACATTAAGGTTTTTCTAACCCAGGCTTGAAGTTGGGACTCTGATGTCAACGCTGCAGCACACAGACTCAAGTGAAATCAGCCATACACCAGACTCTCAAACACCCTCCTGAAATGCGGCTGGTCTAGACCCCGGACACTGGCCTCCTGTGAGAAAGCTTGACTGTCTACACGGCATGTTACAGGAAGTTTGAACAGCCCACCAACACATCCTGCCAAGCAATCATTTTGGTCCGTGCACCCCCAGCTATTGGAAACAGCAACATGGAGACGGCGCCTTTAGAAGAAGTTCTTTGCTTGCACTTTCACTCCTGTGTTGGGAAACAGGAAGAGCTTCTGAGAAATGCTGGTGTATATTTTGGTGCTGTCTTCTGACCCAACAAAGGCACCTGATAGAGCTTATGATGGAGCAGGAAGTGGCGGTAGCAGAGTACCAAAGCATGGCAGACTCCAACTGGCTGACGGAGCTCATGACACTCCGTACAATCACTCATGCCCCGAGTAGACCGGCGCTTCTGGTGCAGGGCCACAAGCGCAGGCTGAGGGGACGATACTGTCATGGTGACTTAGGATGACCAGCTGTGGTCCAGCACTTTCACATGAAGAAAACTACATTTCTGGAGCTTTCTGAAGCGCTTGCCCCAACCCTCTAGTGTAAACATATGCATGAGGCCACTCATGCCAATCCAAAAGCGGGTTGCTATAAGTGTCCAGAAGCTGGCTACCCCAGACTGCTACAGGGCCATTGCCAACCAGTTTAAGACTGGGAAGTCACCTGTGGGTAAAGTCATGGTGGAGGTTTCTGAGGCAATCAGGCATGTGGTTTGAAAGATATTCATGAAGTAATTGCATTTGAGAGAATGGAACTCATGTGCCCCTAGTTTGCCCTCCTCAAGGAACATGAGCACAAACCACAAAGGGCACTACTCCATTGCTATGCAGGCCCTCATGGACCCCAGAGGTCCATTTACGAATGTGAACGTGGGCTGCACTGGGAAAGTTCATGATGTCAGGGTTGTGTGATGAGGGAGAGTCTACATTCATGGACAGGCTGGAATACTATTCCCATCAAATACCAATAGCATTACTGACCCCACCATTATTTTGGGGATCCCCACATGGCCCTTTTTGCCTTGGCCTATTAAACTCTCAGCAGGTGCAGAATGGTTGTTGAACGTGCTTTTGGTAGACTAAAATCCTGTTGCACATCCAAATGGGTCTGTAGACACCTGCAAGTCATCAGTGCTGTTCGCATTACTGTGGCTTGCTGTACTCTTCACAATCTTTGTGAAGCCAGAGGTAAGTCATTTCCCTCTGAATGGGCCTATGAGAGAGAAGGTCCACTGAACCAGTATACTCAGGCAGAAAGTCCCCCTACCATAGCTGGAGCTAGATGCACCCAGGCAACAGAAGTCAGGGAGGCTTTGTGCTCCCATATTATAGACTATGAATGTCCTTTTGGAGGAATGGGGACAGGGCTTATTGATTTGGGGTGGGGGGGTCAGTGCTTGGGGAGGGTAGGGACTCGACTGCCATGCAATGTACTTATGAATGACTTGGCCACTTATGAAATGGTGGGGCATGATTCACAGTATAGATTCATATAATACTCCTGGGAAAATTTAGCACCACTCTGCAATGCAGAATTTGCGCAGAATGAATCTTCTGTGCAGAATTTCCTTTTTCCCTTGCAGAAATGGGCTGCAGAGCTCCTGGACCCGGCCGAGTCTAGTTCCACAGTTTGCAAATAGAAGACTGGGGTGGGGGGAGCGGAGAGAGAGAAAAGAGGAGAAGAGAGAGAACTGGAGGGCTCCCGACAGCTGCAGTTCGAAGGAGACAGTGTGCAGGAAACGTCAAACAAACCCGGGACCCAGCATGAGACTGTTTCTCCCTCTGGATCCCTGGGCTCCCGGGGAGAGGGACTGGAACTAGACTGTGGTAGGGCTTTCTTTAACACTCTACTTCTGGGGGGATTTTTTATTTTTGTCTATGTTGATACATTGTTGCTAGCAAGCATGTTGAATAAATTACCAAAATAACAAATTGGTGTGATTATAGAGTGTTATTTTGACAAATAAAATTTGCCAAATTTTAAAATATTGTACACAGAATTTCCCCAGGAGTAATATAAAGAAGTGACTGAAGTGAGGATTGTATAAAGGAATGGTGTTTGCATACTAATTCCTAATTGTCCCTGATCATGTGTTTACCTTTGTTATTTTAAAAACACTGTACAATATGACAGTGATAGAAATAAACTCTCCTAATGACACAGAAATCTTTATTTATAAAGATGTCTTGGAAAACTACAACATCCACCCATTGCCAGGCAGGCCAGCTGACAGTGCCACACCAACACACCAGAACCAAACAGGGGAGGAAAAAAGTGCATGAACAAGACAAATAATGAAACCATGTACAAAACAGAAACCCCCTACCACTGTATGTCCCCAGACCCCTAGGTTTCCTTTCCCTTCTTGCTGCACATGAGTGGGATGGAGGCATCCACAGGAAAGTCGTCAATATAAAGGACCGAACTGGTCTAAGTTTCCTGGCCCAGCCGCTATTGGGGCCTGACTGCATATGCTACACAGTCATGAAGTTTTCCAAACTGTTTCTGGACTAAATCCCAGGATACTGACCAGGGGTCTGAGGCTGTAATGTGGGTGATGCAGCAGGAGTCGGTACTCTTTCAGCCGTTACTTACATCAGCAACTCAAACTGTTCTCTCTGCTGACCTCTGTCCTTTTTTAGCCACTGCTCCTGCTCCAGGAACAGTGAAACAAGTGCCTGCTCCTGCACTGAAACCCTGTTCTCAAGCTGTGCAGCCTGCCTCAGCCTTTCCTCTTGACTCTCGCCATGCCTTGCCTTTAGCCATAAGTCCCTCTGTTTTTGGTACTGGACCTGCTTGTGGGTCCTATCCAGAATTTCAACCATAAGTTAATCACAGAAATGCTTCCTCTCGAAACGATCCTTGACAGTATGCTGGGCCAGGCTTGTACTAGACAGTGGGCAAGCTGTGGAGATTCTGCAGTCACTAGAGGTCGAGGGGCCTGGAATAGGACAAGACACAGAGTTACTGTCTCAAACAGCTCATTGCAGGAGCACAGAAAAAATTCTGGTGGAATTCCAAGGACAAAGCGTTACATTTCCAAACTGAACCTCAATATACTGTGAGAGGGATACTTCCGACCACAGATGCTCCCTGAACACAGCCTGGTTAATCACAGAGACATTAATATTGAGACACTGGTAAGTTAAAATTCAAAGCTGTTTTTTGTTTTCTAAAAATTGCATAACTACTCAGGGGGAGGAAGGTGTGTCTGTCAGTTGCCTTGCTACAAAGACTTTTTCTATCATTTCAGGCCTTCCACATTTTGGAGGACATAGCTGTTCTTGTGGTGCCTGACCGGCAAAAGGAGAGGATATTCAAAGCTGCTGGTGGGAAACCTGCAATGTATGCAGTGAAGGTAGTCAAACCTATAATGGCTGAACACCTCTATGAGTGGAATGGCTTTGTGAGCTACCAAGGTGGGCCTAAAAATATTCACTTCCCCAAAACGTGATTACTTATCTGGAGTACTGGCTTCAGGAAACGTCTGCATCTATCAGCACCTAAGATGCGGTCAGAATTCATAAGGGAATCAACAGCATGCTGCATAAATTTCATGTGGCTTAGCCAGTTATGATTACATGCAAACACACAGAACTCCACAACCACCACCCCCACCTCCTGGCATATTTCTGGATGCATTTTCAAACCCAGTCAAATTTGAGACAAATGATTTTGTCACTTATGTACTGCTTGGACTACCTTTACCTGAAATGGACTAGATTTGTGAATGAAACACACTTGCACCACCACCGCTGTACCATTCACTCTTTCCAGATGGCTTGTTACACCACTGGATGGTTACAGAGTGGCATACTTATAGGTATGGCAGTGTTAGGTTATTATTTTTAAGAAACAAATGCCCTAGCAAAAATCTGTGCCTTTCTAGTAATATAAAAACACCTTGAAAATATTTATTGTTTGTATTTCCTGGTCACCAATTTGAATTCCACATGGCGGGGGGGGAGTGGACGGAAGAAGACAGAGGAGAACGGGCGCACAACTGGTGTACCATCTGCCATTGGCAGACAGAAGCCCTGGTTAGCAGCATGTAATAAATTTTGAAGTGTTTCATAGAACCGAAATCCACCCCATTCCTACATTAAATGGAGCCAGAAACTTACCAGGCTCCAAGGCAGCTTCTGTCCAGTCTGTCCTCTGCAGGCTCTGCAGCCAGGTTGTTCCCTGGGTGGGCATCAAACAGCTCCCTTAAGTACAGCAGGATGTGCTGCTCCTGGATCAAAGCCCCCCCGGGACTCATTTCAGGAACAGAATCACTTTGTGGGCCTCCCTCTGCACTGCTGCTGGTTCCCACCACTCCCCATGCTGGATTCTGGGGCCAGCAGGGCAGCATCACAGCTGACTAGTTCATCATGCACCACCGCTGGCTCTGTGCTTGTCAACCTCCTCAGAAAACAGGCACAATGTTGGCAAGATGCCAGAGGTGTGTTTCAGGTCCCTGGTTTTCTTATACCGTCTAGAGATGCTTAATCCAGTCCCTGTACTGGTCACCAGCCCGATATATTTGCATATTGGTGTCAGGTGTCATCTACACTTTGGGGAAGGAGAATCCAGTAACATTGTGTTACCCCATCCCCTCAGTGATAATACTCAATTTTTGCAGTGTAAATAGAACGCTGTTTTAATCATGTTCCTTATACAAAATCCCTCATATGCCAGTCCGTACAGCGAGAACTAACAACAGCTCTCAACATCTGAAAGACACATTGTTGACATGAAATTAGATTCTTGTCTAAGGGACAACGGTATGCAAAATCTCTTACTGAAAAAGACCAGATTCGTAATCTGGGTCAGGCACAGAGATGCCGCATGGTAGGTGGAAGCTGGAATCCATAGAAAATGTTACTATTTGAAAATTATCAAATATATAAGCACAGTAACTCCAAACTTAACGTTGTAGTTATGTTCCTGAAAAATGCAACTTTAAGTCAAACAATGTTAAACTAATACAATTTTCCCATAAGATTTAATGTAAATGTGGGGGGTTAGGTTCCAAGGAAATTTTTTGGGGGGCAGACAAAAGACATTATATACTGTACTATCGTAGGGAGGTGCCCTTGGCTTACCCCACACAGGCACAGCCTGCTGCAGACAATGAGGCAGGCAAGGACACTAGAAAGCACCTTGCACAGCAGCAGCTTCCCCCCTTAAGAACAGGCGCTGACTTTGCTAGGGGATGCTCCAGGTCCACCTCTTCCCACCCCCACTCCACCTCCTCCCTGGAGCACATTGCGTCCCCGCTCCTCCCCCTTGCTCCCACCACTTCCCTGCCGCCAAACAGCTGTTTGGCAGCACTTAGGACTTTCTGGGAGGGAAGGGGAGGAGCGGAGACTAAGCAGATTTAGAGTTAGTGGGGCCCTGTGCTCTGCTTCATTTTTGCTCCCCACCCCCCACCGGGGGAGCACTCTCTCTTATCTCCCTCCCATTTTTTCCCCCTCTATTCTCCTCCTGGGGCTCAGGGCTGGGGGTGCAGGGTTTGGGAGAAGGCTCAGGGCTGGGGCAGGCAGGAGGTGCAGAGCACTTACCTGGGACAGCTCCTGTTTGGTGCAGGGGGTGTGCAGGTGGCTCCGTGCAGCACTACCCCCGTGACCACAATTCTGGGAGCTCCCCCCCCGACCAGGCAGGGCCACCTGGAAGGCAGGGGCTTTAGGGGCTGCAGGGCCCTGGGCTAAGGGGGCCCCAGCCTGCAGCTCTAAAGCCCCTTTCAGAATGCAACCCTGTGAGCACAGGCTGGGGGACACAGGAGGAACAGGGGCAGCCGCGCAGCCAGCCAGCAGGAGAGAAGTAGTGCTTTGAAGAGAAAAGCCGTCTGGCAGCGGGGGAAGCGCTGGGAGGGAGGAGGCGGAGAAGAGGAACTTGTGCAATGCTCCCTTGTAAAGTCGCTGCTCTTCCACAGAATCCTATAAGCAGTGGACAGAGCAGGCAGCCAAACGACATTATAAGGAAGCATTGCACAACTTTAAACGAGCATGTTCCCTAATGGAGTAGCGACGTAACTTCGAAGAAACGTTAAACAGGAGAACATTAAGTGAGGAGTTGCTGTAAATTGCTCATGCTGGTCTCTACAGCATGCCCTGACATACTGCTCCTTTTGACATGTCACTTGAAATGGGAGCAAGCAAAAAGTGTGTTTTGAGGACAAACTATGGAGCAACCAAGTAAGATGATCTGAGACTGTATGACTAAGTAAAGCTGACATTGCCATCCTCTGAACTGAACCCTAGTACTGATAGTCACTAACAGGAAAAAGATATCAGTTTGATATCTTGTTTTGGGGAAACAAGGTATCTGGAGGCTGTAATGTGTAAACTCTGAAAAGTCACCTAGATATTGAACATAAATCTTCTTCATGCACAGGGGGCAGAAAAGCCCAGATATACTATCTTGATAGCTACATAGAATAAATACTTGTAGGAACTGTTTATGTCCAGCATGGCTATAGAACTATTCAGTTTTCAAAGTAGTCAAGTTTGAGAAAGTTTGAGTGGATTTCTGAAACAAAAATAGCCCCTCAGAGAGCAGTGCCAACAATACTGATGGGTTGGGATCTGCTTTCTGACACTGCACTGTTCTCCTAATAGCTGAAAGTAAGAGACGATGAAAACAAACCCCATAAAGTTGGGGTCCCTATTTGAAACAAACTCAAACTCTAACTGAAAGAAGTGGAACACTAAAAACAAGGAGGCCATTCTGTCACAAGGGAGTCCTTCCAATGGAGAGAATTGCAAGAAATCCCAGAGACAGCAAGCCGCCTTCCTCACAGCACTCATAAGAGAAAGGAGGAAATAAAACAAAACATACCTCGAAAGATCTACCATAAACAGATGGAGGAAAAGTCTCCCCACATCTCCATCAAAAAGCTAGTGTTTTCTCCAGCTGTCAGGTAAGATTTCAACAAACCATATTCATATTCACTGTACTGAGATGAGAGACATTTACAAAGCCAGGTATTTTCCTTGTCCATTTGCTGGTAAGAAACATTTACCAATTGTCTTAGGCAACATACAGGATATTGGTGTATACATAATGATGTATGTAATGCCTTTAAAAAGTCTCCCCCTACAATCTAGCCCAGGGGTTCTCAACATTTTCCTTTCTGAGGCCCCCCCCGCAACATACTATAAAAACTCCACAGCCCAGCTATGCTACAACTGGTCTTCTGCATATAAAAGCCAGGGCAGGCATTAGAAGGTAGCAAGCAGGGCAACTGCCTAGTGCCCCACACCACAGGGGCACTGTGAAGCTACATTCCTCAGGACCCAGGGCTTCAGACCCATGCGATGGGCTTCAGCTTTTTGCCCTGGGCCCCAGTGAGTCTAATGCTTTGACCCTGCTTGCAGCTCCCCCCTAGGGAGCCCGAGACCCCAGTTCAGAACCACTGATCTATCCAATCTACAGATGTTACAGATTTGCCTGATTTAGTTATACAAAATGCTTAAATCAAAGGATTCTTTGGCAGTTGAGGCAGAGAACCAACCAACATTTAAGGAGCACAGGGAGACGAATATTGTTAGAGATTTTTCTGTAGTTACTAAAATAATGAAACATTGATTAGAACCCAGGTCTCTTGGGTTCCAGATCAGTGCCCATCCTTGGATGATGCACATTTAAACTTCTCCACCTATGTGTGTTTCCGTATCTAGACCTCAACCTTGAGCTCTTGCTGATCTGCAATAGAACTATATCAAACTGGGCTAAATTGCTATCTGGAAGTATACACAATCCTGCCTTAGCGTTTGCTGCTAATGTATTCTGCTCCGCATAGATTCTAATTAAAGGACACGAACAAAGGACTTCAATATGCTTAACTGTTCCTGAGAACATTTTACATCTATTCCCAAAATCAACTTTGCTGGACTCAGTCTGAAAACCTTTATCTACCCCTTCTAGTATCTCTCTTCGGAGAGGACCACTCATATTCAGGTTTCAAGAAAGATATGGAAGTTTGGATTTCCATTAAAAAATATATGAATGCGATCAGGGAACTATACAGATTTTCCTCGGCACTTGGTAAAACACAGAACGTTAGATTCAAGTGTTGGTAGCGTTGTCTGCCACAATTTACAGGCTATTAAGATTTTATTTAATTTATTTAATTCATACACATTTTCCTGGCTCAAGGCAGGGGCTAGAAGGTGACTATTGACATGGGGAGCCGTACAAAAATAGGTAACAACCAATATCACTGCTATACTGAGACACTGCACCAGGTGAATACAGAAGAAGGGACTGGATGTTAGGGCTGGGTCTATATTGACTCTCATTCCTAAAAGGTGCAGGCTCCAGTTATTGGCACAGCTCCCAGAAGCAATGGATTCTGGAACACGTCAAAAGGCTACTAGTGCACTGTGGGAGTAGTTGACCCATCTGGACCATTTCAGTTTGAACCATTTTAATGACATTCATATTGGCACTAAACCAGTGCTAGCTGAAACAGTTCAGACGAAACTGGTAGTTAGACACACTGAAAGCAAGCCTAATCCAAAAGGTATATGGCAGGCATTCAGACAGTTTAATATCCATTACGTCAGGCGTTCTCAAACTGGGGGTTGGGATCCCTCAGAGGGTCACGTTATTACATGGGGGGGTCGCGAGCTGCCAGCCTCCCCCCAAATCCTGCTTTGCCTCCAGCATTTATAATGGTGTTAAATATATAAAAACGTGTTTTTAATTTATAAGGGGGGGGGGGTCGCACTCAAGAGGCTTGCTATGTGAAAGGGGTCACCAGTACAAAAGTTTGAGAATCACTGCATTACATGTATGCTACCAGGAACCACGTTACTCTAGTCAGTGTACGAGCAGCTACACTGCAAGCCCTTACCCAAGTTATGGTGCGCTCCCCTATGTGCATCCTCAGGACTTTCTGGGGATACGTCCCACGGTTCTTTGTGCTGCAGTAAACTGTGCAACAGATTCTTTCCCAGTGAACTGTGGGAGAATTTGTCTGTCCTCCTTGGCACACTGGAGGAAACTGAGAGAAGACAAATGGAGGACTATCAGCACTCTAAATGATTTAGCCTGCATTCTCACAGCACAGGAGGAGGAGTACTACTGGCTCAAGTGAAACCAGAACCCAAGCCCTAAACCCCATGCCCCCTGCCATGCTAGCTGGCCTGCAAGCACAAAAACTCAGGTGAGATATGTGTGTGTGTGGATGGAAGGGGATGGGGCGGGGGGTTGGGACAACACACAAGGAAGAACCTGGCTAACTCATTTAGCCCAAACTTTTACCTTGGTTTTAGCCCAATCCACTCTACCATGCTTAAAAAGCCTTTTATATGGATTTGTCAGGCTTGCTTACCCAGGTGAGTAGGCTCCCTTCCTCGGCGCTGGAACTCATCTATTAGTTTATATACACCTGCCCAGTTTATAAACACCACATTACACCCAGCCTTCTGCATTTCTACACAGCTCACTTGAATAGTTAGTGTAGTAAGCACCATAATTTGAGACACACCAAAAATCACACCTCTAAAAGAGCACTGCCAAGAGTCTGGCAGAGGAGGGGATTACATGGAGGGCAAGTCAGTGTAAGAGAATAAAAAAAACGCACTACAAAAAAAACACCAATGGCAAATCTCGAAACTTACTATCAACCTGCCACTACTATAAAGAGTTTGACTAGTTGCTGAACACCCCCTGTTGTGCCTGATGGCGTTTTAAGAGCAAATGCACTCATGGACACAGACTGGCAGTGCCAGAGGAGATCCCAGCAGTTGAAGGTCAAACACAGACCCCAGAGCCAGCAGGCTCTATGGGCAGATGGACTGGAGGACATCCTCAGACCTGCTCGGGGACAAGGAATGGAACAGAGAGAAACCTGCATCAGAGCCATCGCCACTTCCAGATAAGAGGCTGCTGCCATCTTTGTTATTGCTAGTGAGAAACTGCAACATAAATGATAGGATTTTGCTAGTTTATGGCCAATGCAATTATTATGAAGAATATTATGTACTGTGGGCTGACCTTTGGGCCACCTGAGTGCAGAAGCCACACCATTTCCCCAGACACCTTTTCCCCCCTTCCTCCCCCATCACATGCAATTCAAGATGGATTCCAAACAAGGAGAAAAGTAGTAAATATGCAACTAGTGATTTATTCTAACTGAAATGTAACTGAATACTGCTAATTGATTTATGCACAACTGAGATTACAAGATGAGCGATGCCTGCAGACACTGTGATGCATGCAGCACAAGCACATATGTATAGCTATGTACACACACACACACTGCACTCTTCTCATACTGGTACTGTATTAAAGCATTCTCCAAAACAGCCAGGATTTTATGTCCTACTGTATGATCTGTGGCTATATTAAGTGAAAGCAAGGTGGATAAAAACCAATGATTTTTTTAAATAATAAAAATTCCTAGTTATTTAGTTATTTAGTTATTTAAAAATTGGATTTTTTTGATAAAATGCTTTTTGAGGAAAAAAGCAATCTGAAGATAGTTTTAATTAAGATACATTATAGCTTAAAGATATCTCTTCATAGAACAGGGATTGTAAATTCTAATTCTACAGTATGAGAATATATTCATGTAATGTTTAAGAAAAGTTTTGTAAATGAGTTCCAATAGTTCATGGATTAGGGACCCAATCTTATGGGATTCCAGGGGCTTCTGTACAGATTTAGGTTAATCTTTCTACCTATCCAATGGGTCTCAGTGCTCAGTCTAGAAGATACCATCAGAGAAGATACATTTTTCAGTTCTCAAACTGTGGATTTGTCTATCCAGAGATAACATGCTTGTTAACAGCAAAAATGTTTTTAAATGAATAAATAAATAAATATCTAGAGGTGAGAAACAGACCTCAACCCTACTGTCCCTCTGAAAATTTGTGTACACAGAGTCAATCCCTTATCTCTCTCTAAAAGTTTCAAAAAGTTCAATGAACAGAAGTTTGTTGGGGGCAGAATAAATCTGGATAAGGAGATGTCTGGAGATAAAATGTGAGAAGGGAGGGACAGGCAGCAGAAACAAAAGTGAAACTGTTTGAGCAGCATATTCTAGAAGTCTTGAGGTCTTTCCAAATGTAGCCTTCATTGATTTGAGATCTACCATATCATTCTCTTACTAGAAGGGAAAAACTATAATGGCAGCAGGCTGTCAGAGAGACCCAGTTTGGGAATAATTACCATTCAAGAAATATATGTTTGCTGCTGATGTTTTAAAGAAAATCACACCAATGAATGGTGGAAGTCACTGCTGAAGTGATAATCTCACTTTTAACAGCAGTAGCTTCTTCTGCCAGTGTAGAAAGAATATTTTCTTCCTTTGGACTAATTAATTCCAAATTGAGAAATCATTTGAGACCTGAAAAAGCAGGAAAGCCGTGTTTTTCTTTTCCAGATTAGAAACAAAAAGGAAAATGAAGGTGAAGACGACTGAGAAGCTGCAGAAGCCAATATTTTACATTTTTCATGTTGACCTGGCTGACATAGTCTATTTAATTTTTGGGTTTTGTTTTTTTTAAATATTTCATTTAACTATTTTAGTTAAAAACAATTTTAACAAAAACAAACCTGAATTAAAAAAATTGAATGTTTAACTAAATTTAAAAATTCATGTGCTTGTTTTGTTAAAATATTATATGTTTGCTGTTGAGGAAAACAATCCAGAATATATAATGTTGTTTTAAACGTCTCTCTGGTGATGTTCTCCTCCTAATATAGCATGACAAGAAAATCCTCCAAATATTAATGTTTGACCAGTTGAACTGGAAATAGTTCGCCTCCCAATGATTTCATAAATATCTGCTTCAATTACCTTTGGCCCATTCATTTTCTGATATAGCTGTAAAACTAATCTGAAAAGTTTTCAAAATCAATCACTTAAAAATGTATAGTGTGTACCTTCTAAAAATGAAATCTACATCTATCTCTGAGTTGAGAAGAATATGTACTAAGGTTATAACAACCAACAAGAATGCGCTTTTATGTAGAAATCTATGATTAAATAGAATCTTCCTAACTAGTGATTTAAATCAATTTGAGCTAAATCAAATCCACCCTGAGTGAAAGTCTCTAGGTATTGGCAGCCTGATGTACAGGGGTAGTGAAAAGGCATATTCATGGTAAGCAAGTTCCTGCATCCTATTTCAGCATGCTTTTTTGTGTTCACTGAGATTTTGGTCCACCCCCAGAAGATTATGCTTCTGAACTTTTCACACAGGAAAACCTCAAGACAGTCCACAAGACACCTATGCAGGACAAACCCTCCCCGCCCCACAGCTCACTACAGTCCTCTCTAGTCATCACTCGCTGATCAGTCATCAGACAAGGAAATACCTCTTTGACATACACAGATGGTCTTCTACCACAGGCCTGGAAAAGTTCCCTTTTCCAATCCTGAATCTCCAGCAGATTAACATCTTCTGACGACAACACTACCTGAAATACTTTTAAGACCAGCACTGGTAAAAGGTTCCTAGTTTATGGGCACCAAACCCACCCCCCATCCAGGTAAAAAGATATATTTATTTTATTTTAAAAAATTCCAAGATTTTCCATTGTATTGGTGACCTGAGCTGCAGCTGCTTATCAACAGGCAAATATGGAGAAAGGAGATAAACATGGGTATGGAGAAGACAGAAGTATCGATTTTGTGGCCTTGCTGTGACACAATGTAAAGAGATATTTTTATTTCCTTTATTGCCTTTGCAAGGCTGTCCACATCTGCTGCACCAAGCAGCCTCCAATGGCTTTTGGGATGAGGGCCGTGAACTAGCAGGGGAAAAGAAAAATGTTCCAAAGATGACCATCTGCAGGATATGCAAAATGACTTTAGCCACAGGTCACACCAGCAGTGAGAATTCCAGAGGCTGCTGTAGGAGCAGGACAGGGAAATGAAGGAGCATGACTGGCAGCAGCAGAAGGAAATGTTCAAGCAGCCACTTAGCCTGACGACCAGTACCTTCGCCAGTTGACTCTCCTCCATGCTAACATACCTGGCAGCCAATGCACCACTTGACAATTCTGGAGTGGGGTTGGCAATGTGGCAATCAAACTCCTAGAATAAAAGTGAGTATGGATATATATATTCTGTTCATCCTACCTCCATGCAACTACAGGAGAAGTAGTACAAGAACACTGGTGATGTGCAATTCTATCAACAATGACATCACACTGATTTACTTTGTTTTCACTGCACATTTCACCCAACATTTGCACTCTGGTCAGTAGCAGGTGGATTGGCTGCATTCACTTTTACTAAAGTATTTGATTGAACAATCCACAGGTGAGTGTTTGGGAAATAAGAGGCAGAAAGCTTAAATCAAAAGCTTTTAATTGTCAGAACAGCAGAAAATAGATACATGTCTAAGTCTACACAGTATAACACTCCACAGCCTCACATTTTCCCACACAAAGCTGGATGTGGGCAAACAAGCCATCCCTTACTTCCCTTGCTCTCCCAGCCCCAGTGATCAAAGGTGCACTCTTAGGTTCGGGTGAACAGGCAGCCAATCTTCAACCCATTCCTGGAGAACGCTCTCTCCATTGTGCTTGCATATGTTGTGGAGTGCACAGCATGTCCCAATAACAGATGTCACTGGGCATACTACATCCAAACAGGTTTGCAAGCTGTGCCAACTTACCATCAATCGTCCAAATGTACATTCTACCACCATCCCGCAACTGCTTAGTATGCAAATTCTTCTGAGTGCACTCTTACATCAGGGTACAACTTCACATGCACCTTGTGGAGGGAAGGAGATGGTCACAGTTGATGTAAAACTGGTTAGCAACCAACCTGTAGCAGTCTGAGGTAAGAGCCTAATTCTGGATTCCCTCATCTGCATGTCCTGACACTGGAGGGTTGGGTCCACATGACAGTGTAGACCCACTCAGTACTTGTGCTCCTGATCCAGCATCAGGTCAACACAGGAGAATCTACAGCTATTACAACCTGCATCAGCTGCCTCAATTCTGCTGTGTCCACACCAAGGCCTGCTGCCACCTTCTGAT